ACGTTGCTGGAGCGACTCAGAAGATGCTCTTGAACTTATGAATGAAAGTTCCACCACACGCAATATTTTCACCAGACTTGCCTTCATCCGACTACCATTTGTTCCGGTCAATGCAGCAGCACATCTTAGTGGATAAACAGTTCAAAGGGCTGGACGATGTGCCTCGAAGCCTGCAAGTTTCCTTCGCGACGGCATTCGTACGTTACCTGAGAGATGGCACCAGGTCGTAGAAGGCGAAGGGCAATGTTTCCACGATAATGCTCGTTGTTCTTTATTTATATATATTAAATTGCCGAAAATATGCGCAAAAATGAAATCTTTCGCCCAATACATCACACTGCGTTTGAACTTAAAGTGGACCAATACATGAGTCGCTATTCCTACAAAAGCGTTCACATGGAAGCGTTCGTTGCATATTTCAGTGTACATGCACAACATAATGCCAGTGTCGACGGCAGCTCCGGCCCTGCACGGGACGATGGCCGGCAACGCCCTGACCCCGCAGATGACCCCGGCGACAGTCGCGGCCGCCGGCGCCACCCTGCCTCGACGCCGCAGCCCCTTCCCGCCCCAGGCTGTGCCCCAGGGCGGCTACTTGGCGCAGCCGTGTCCAGCCGGCGCCATGGCCAACCGACCGCTCCCCGTCGCCGGTGGCTTCGACCCGACCTCGGGTCGGGCCCTCGTGTCGGGTTTGGCCGCGCCGCCCCTCGTCTCCTCCCTCAACGCCCCCGCTCCCCTTCCGCCTCCGCCGCCGCCTGGCGCCAAACCATGCGACGGGAACCAGGAAATTGGCATCTAGCAGAATTGGGCATTTTTGGTTCGCTATCTCCCTCCGACACAATCTCCGCTATCTGCTTGATGACGCATTTATTCTACTCTTTCTCGCTCTCTCTCTAACTCCCCATACATGTATACGTATATTTAAGCAGTGTAGAAGCTGGCAATTTTGTGTACAGAGCTATCCAATCCCTTTTGTCTTTTACATTTCCTTACTCCACTACGTGTGCTTGAAACTGTGACATCGTTGATCATTTCTGCCTCAGTCTGGCTTCTGCTGCTGGTGTCCTACGGCTGCGGCGATTTGTGCGCGTGATTTAATTGGACTCCTGTATCGGCAATACTCAGACTTTAAAAAAGACGCAGTTTCCTATATTCCCGAGTCAGCCGTGGTAAAGTTGGATGGGAGTGGGTCACGAATTTCTCGGTGATGTCGTTGTTTGCCACCACTGAGGGCCTTTCAGCCGTTGTTGTGTCTTTCAATTTAACTGGGTTCCTTAAAGATTGCCGTCTGTGGTTTGATCCGACTCTCTGGCGTCAAGTTTTCAAACCAAACGCGCGGGGCATGTGCTGACGGTTTCGAAAACCGGCTTATGGGACGCGTGATTTTCCCTGGGGGCCTTCTTTGACCTGCTTTTCGTGTGTTTCGTGGGGTCAACCACAATATCAGTCAGCGGGGATTAATGGTTTTTCACCCTCAATGTCGTCTGTGCAAGCTTTCTTGTATTCAGTAGATTCAAAAGGCGCTTTTAACGTCATTGTCTCGCGTTTACTGAAACCGTAGTAACGCCTAGGGTATTTCGCGAGTCGGTGGAATGGCTCTAGTCTCCGAACGGTACTGAGTCGAGTGATTGAGAGGCGTTGGCGAGGTCAGTCACAGCCGAATAATGCCTGCGTGGCATTTTGACTGGGAGGCTCATCCGCCCCGTGAGCGACGACTATTTTATCACTCACGTCTGGACATGTGTCTGCGTCGACTTTGTACTTGCCGCTCTTTGATGTTTGGAAGAATCTCATTCAGTCGGAATGGTGTCGTCCTTGGCGCGACTAAACACCAGACAATAGTCCCAGCGAACTGCGCTATTTACTCAAAAGACATGCAGATTGATCATGGGAAATCGGATTCCTTTAAAACCAACAGTGGGTAAGCCATCTGCGGGCGTGTGTGTCGTTGTAAGACGGTCAACTGATCCTCAACTGTCGCGTTAAGCCTGAGGCTCGATATTTGGCGTATGTGAGGGCTATAAGTCCACTGTTTAGCATGATGATCAATCAATGAGACGAACACTTCAATCAAGTAATTGACTTTCGTGATTGGTGGATGACGCACACTTGCGTTCTGATGGTTGTCATGGTAGATGTTCCATTTGAACGCATATCACCGGGAACTGGAAACCGTAAACCATCTTGGTGTGTCAGCAATGAATGTGCACCACTTTCTTGGAGGATAGTTGCTGTAGAATTCCGGTTTTATGCTTTTACACGACGGACGGAAAAGCCTGTCCACATTGTGGTGCGGGCAATTGTCTCTTAAAGCAGCATGGGTTCGACTCAGTACCCCTGGTGTTCCCCCACGTCAGCATCGAAAGACGGAGTGAGGTCTCGCTTAGTTAGTTATGCTGTCAGTTGGATCAGCTTTGCAAAATCCCGTTTCTGTAGATACATATACCAGAATTGGAAGAATTTTGAATTCAGCGCTACATTTTTACTATATTTGTCTCAGTTCTAGTAGTGTTGCCTCAATCCGTGAAAAGCATAAATTTGTCGGAGCTGGCGAAATGAAAATCCTTGGTTGGTTTGTCCTCTGATGCTAGACTGATTAATTTGCACAGCCCTGCTTGCTGTGGGCTATGAAGTTTAACAAATTCACTTGTGAAAAACTATACCGAGTAATTCAAGGACTGTTGTGAATCGTGTTTATTCAACCTCTTAATGCGATCGCTTCGCCCCAGACACAGGGCTCCCCTTTTTCACAGCATGGCGCCAGCCTCGCGAATCCTCAACTCCCCCTTCATTCACACGTATATGTATCTTGGATTAACCTCACACGTAAGTCTCGATGTTAGCACATATATGACTCACAAATTCGAGGTATAAACACACACACACAAACCCCACACAAAAACCACGTCTTCGTCAAATCCTCGAATAAACGTTTGACCCTCTGTCCTTCCACGGACTTCATCTTTGTTGGGTAACTCGTGATATTAGGCATCCCAACAAACCCATTCACAGTCCTAAGGCAATAAAAAGTTATGTGGGTGCACGATATGAACCAAGGTTCATAAGAAGTGGATGCAATTAATTGGACAAAGTCACTGTTTACAAGATTCACGTCGGTTAAATTAAAGTAGTTTGTTATAAAACTAAACAAATGTGTTCCATAAATGAGAGGTTCAGTCGCCTTTAATCGATTTTAATCTTCACAACCACGGAATGTGTCGTAGCCTATGAGGTTGCAGTTTCATAGGCCATCAGAATTGGGTCGGTGAAATTCCATACACACAAATCAACATAATGTACTTTTAGCGAAAACATGGGCTTATCTACAACCATTAAATTACTCATTAACGGGCAGATTTTAGATGCATGCGAATCATCGCGATTTTGCTTTCCATTATGTAATGGGACTTGTGGAAAAAAAACATTGATTTCCCTTCCTTAACATGTCATGAGTCATAATGTAGCCACGTATTGGACCACACCAGCCTCAGCCGATCCTCTATCTCCCTACGATCCAATGGGATGCGAGGAAAATAGGCAGCCAACTAGAGAAAGACATGAATGAGGAGCAGCATATAATGAGTGGCGTACCCAGCGTGCTTGACTCGATTAACGGCGCCTGATGTGTGGTTCTGGCTTGTGATTGGTCAATAAAGCCTTGTCTGTTGCACAAGTCTTCTTCATACTACCATAGCAACTACTGTAGTGTACGTTTCGGCCCCATGGTATGGTCAAGAAGAGAATGAGACAAAATGGATTCTTTTAATGAAGGATGAAATAGGTTACACTCTGGTCTCAATCTGGTCGGTCCGTATGGGAAAAACAGGGGCTTTATATATCCTTGTCCTGTTCTTCCTGTTCTCCCTTTGGTCCGTTTCGCGTCTCAACAATGGAGACGGAAAACTCCTGAGCGGATTGGCTCTCAGTCCCCAGCGCGACACTCAATGCCCGCGTGACGCCATACTGCCGGATGTCGCACCTCCGGTCACATGACGTCGCTAACATGGCGTGCTTCTCACCTTCGACCAATGGATTAACACCAGTATGGCTGCTATCTATCACGCCGCTACAGGAGCGATGCATAATGGCGCAGACATATTGGACCATGCCTAACACAGCCAATATCCTGTCACTCTGAGTTCAAATGGGATACGTGGAAGGTAGGCAACTAACTAGAGACAGCCACAAATGAGGAGCAGTATATAATGAGCTTCGCAACCAGCGTGGAGGCATCAGATTAATGGCGCCTGACGTATGATTGTAGCTTATGATTGACCAATAAAGCCTGTACTGTTGTACCAGTCTTTTTCACAAAAGGGCTCGTGTGTCCTACGCTACTCATGAGGATTTGTGCAAATATGGATGAAATTAAACAAAGTGTTTTTTAGCCTGTTTATGTTGAAAAGCAATATTCTGGTTTACAATGTAAAACTTTGAGAACTCTGAAAGAATTTTTTTCGTACTTTGGGCTTTTCACTTATCTAAAATTTTGTTGGCCTTTCTATGCTGATATCCAATTTTCTAATGAGGATAGCGATAGCTTCTGCATATTCTTTAATTTTGGCCTTTCAAGCTATTTTTATCTGCGTTGTATTTAATTCACTGATAGTTCTGTCGGAATGCTTTTCGTATATAATAAATGGATTTATGGACAGTGCATGTAGATGTAAAATAAGTCATTTCACATTCAGCTTTAAATTTTTACTCATATTGCAATTATAATCGGGAAACCATACTTCAAATCATATCGTGTATTTAGAGCTACTCACGCCGGAACCCTACTTATGTTCATTTTTCACATTCCAAGATAATAAAACTGTGTTACCAACTAACAGTTATAATAAATCTCCTCCTATGTTACATTTGAATATCAGTATTCTACACTTGGTTGGAATTCAGATCTCATGACAAGATGAAGTTTAAAATTTTTTCCCAGACATGACATTGAAAAAGAAGTTTTATCTATCAGAAATCTCGTTTTAGTCATGCACTCTACTTAAATCTAACATTTAAGCAATTTAAAAATCAAATTACTTCACTTTTTCAAGAATAAAACGACGGGACGAAATGATGTTCGAATAATCATAGCCTTTTGATAAAGCTAAATTCGTCGGCTTTTAAATTACCTCGGATTTTGAAGTTTGGTGGTTGTGATCTGAAATTCCTTGACCTCAGTGAATGTAAAACAATTCTATTTGTGTGGTGATTGGCTGTTCGACGTTATCGGTATTCGCCCGCTATTTTCGATGTTCCTCACTTTTCCGCAAATTGCACCTTCGGTGGTGGAAGTTCCTGGGAGTACTGTTGGTGCGTATTAGATGTTTCTTTTGAATGCGCTACGCCATTAAGGGGCTTTAATTCATGTGTACGATTTTATTCTCCTTAGTGACCTACATTCATTGCATTTTTTCCCTTCACTTTTCAATTGTCCTCTGTTGCATTGTCCTAACTTGTATGTCTATTTTAATATGTACTTCCTGTTAATAGCTTATGGCAACTTTCGTATCTTGCTAATGTCGTTCATTGGGCTATCGTGTTTTTTTGTTTCTGTGTTGGTTTAACCATTTTGAACCCAAATAACTTCCGCAATATTCATTTATTATTGATTTATTATTATTTTTTACATGCCTTAAGTTAGATGTATCTGTTGAATAACTTGCTCTATTTACCGTTGGTTTGGCAAAGTTGTGAATTTTGCTACGGGCACTGAGGAATTTTGAGCTTATTATTGTACCTGGCAATCTTGCTATGGAATACATGGTTGATCTCATGAGGCATTCTTGTCCATTTACCAAGTTTCCAGTTGTTATCACGATCATTCATTTTCCATGATTGAAATAACCATACGTATACTTAGTTGTGCTCACACTTTACTCACAGATACTACGCGCGTTTCCTACGAGGTTTTAATACGTTACTCTGCATGCATTTTATTTGTTTTGATTCGTTTCCACCTGGCTTCGCCTTGAATTATCAGCTGGTATTCCATTTCACCAATTAGTTCTAATCCCTACCTAATGTTAGTACATAAAATGTATGGCACTAATTATTTGTTTTGCTATAGTGCCGCACTTTGAATTTGAAAGTGAACTATGACCGTGCGTGCTCTTCACTACGTTTTCAAAATCCCTAACCGCAGTGAGGCAGTGAAGTTTTACAAGCAAATTCTTGGTATGAAGGTTCTTCGCCATGAGGAGTTCCACGAGGGTTGCAAAGCTGCATGCAATGGGTACGTCAAAGTGCTTTTTCTGATTCAAACAACTCCCATAGGCCTTATGACGGAAGGTGGAGTAAGACAATGATTGGTTACGGCCCCGAAGATGACCATTTCGTCCTTGAGCTAACCTACAACTACGGTATTGGAAGTTACAGACACGGCAACGATTTTAGAGGAATTCACATATATTGTCCACAGGCATTTGAGCGAGTTATTTCTCAAACCAACATTCCTTTCAAACAACACACGGGCTATGTGGAGCTGCTTGATCCAGCTGGATACAGGTTTTTCATTTACAACGAGAAATCAACTACGGATGACCCAGTCAGGAAGCTTGAACTCTCTTGCTCTAACCTTCACCGATCCATAGGTAATGTGGTTCATTTATCTTAAAATGTTCGAAACAAATCAGACTATTGGACGAACAAGTGCGGCATGACGTTACTCGAGTCCTCGGACAAGCATGCGGTCCTTAGCTTTGGCAAGAACCAATGCACTTTACAGCTAACCTTAGCTGAGGAAGCCATTGACCGTGCTCAGGCTTATGGTAGGGTAGCCTTTTCTTGCCCTCGTGATGCGGTGAGTTATTTCTCTCAATGGTCGTAATTTTTAAACCGTCGAGGAAATCCCTTGCAGAGGAGATTAATTTACTCTTTTTGCTTTCTAGTTAGCACCTCTTCAAGAGAAAATGGATTTAGAAAAAGAGATCGTTCTCACGAGACTGGTTAGTCTAGATACGCCGGGCAAGGCAACAGTTGAGGTCATTATCCTCGCTGATCCGGTAAGTACACCTTGTTGAACTTCGTGGAAGCCATCGATCCTGTTCGTTTTGATGGCACACTGTCAGTTTCCGATGGAAATGTGTCTTTTAGACAGAACTGTAGTCTGCTCTTAGAAGGCATCAAGAAAAAGATAAAGCGTGCTGCATCTATCACGGGAAGCTTCTTTTTTGATGCATTTTTCAGGAAGGTCACGAGATCTGCTTCGTCGGCGACGAAGCCTTCCGCAGTCTCTCACAAGTGGATCCGAAAGCCGACGAACTGCTGGAGACGGCGATGGCCGAGGACAAGAGCGACGCCTGGTTTGACAAACGCGGTGGCAAAAAAACCCAGTAGTCTTTGTTCACTTTTCTTCCTTTGATCTTCTGATTTTTGTTTCCTTTTCCACATCCATCCTGTGCCTTCTTTCTACGCTAGGACCTAATATTAGCATTCTAACTGGTCTTATTTGAAGGTTGCAATCAGTCGGTCCGGGCGAATTCTTTTCAAGGCTCCCTTAAGACAGATTGCGGTAGCAAGATCTTGGTAATTTGGGAGTGAGGGATACAAGAACGGCATATTTAAATGAGTTGTGAACGGGGCCGTTTGCTGCCAGAAGAAATCGACCATCACCAGCCGGGTGGCAGATTGAAATGGGCAAACACGTGGTCTTCCAATGCTCTTGATTTGCATGCCTCATGGCGCTGAACGCCTAGGTGGTCCCGTTGGTAATCAGGTGTTATTAATTGTCCGTTTTTCAAGGGACCCTAACGTGAGTACAGCGGGGTGAAGGGCTCAATACACGAAATGTTATGTTCTACGAATGCGGGACATCAATTTCGTTCACGTCGCCCGCAGTTATCTCACGAGAGTAGCGCCGGGAAATTTGACACTGCGGTACGTGGTGCAGTGCAATGAAGACGTTGCATTCGCGTTAAAGTGCCAGCAACTTCTAAGTAGTTTATTTAAGTTAGTTGAAAGAGCATTACTGCTCCTGAAGGTAACCTTCCTCGCCAGCATTAACGAAGTCCAATTAACAAGTAACTGTTGAATGCGTTTGGGTACTTTCATCGCATTAGGTTGAAGCATGAGTGACTAGTGAGACGTGAGGATTTTGAAGTAGTAGCTGGTCCTAATCTTTTCTTCGCTGGTGGTCACATCATCATGACTGACCACTGGTGGGAATGTTGAGTTCGTGAGTTATTTCAACCCAATGAAACTTATGACAAGTCGGTACATGAATTTGTCTGGGTTCTTAACTAAAGCCAGTCTGTTGGATTATCGCGTCTGTGGGATGCTTGATCTGCACAACACGCTGATCAATAGCTTGACGAGTTCACCCACACACAAGCACCCAATAACTTGTTGCGAATGTTTTTTTGAGTACCTACTGGCGTGGGCAATGCGGATGGTCAAAAGGACTGCGATGGGATCTGTTGGTTGAAGTATTGCATGGGAGATATTGTGGCATTACGGTGACACGAAAATAATTGTCCGATATGAGCCTGCTGGTAAAGGGTGGGCTTCTACATATTTGTGGTGGGTGGGTTTCAAGTGACGTCTTTGAGAGTCTCTCAGGTAAAACGGCTTTAAAACTGGGGCCTTGCAGGTTGTAGAGGCGAAAAGAACACACACGTCGTGGTGTTCCCTAAACCTTGGTGTCTATACCACCGTTTGACATCGTAATTATCTGGGTATCTGGCTAGTTTAACTGGGCCAGTACAACGCTGCGGTACAAGTGGGGTTTCGTGGCTAGTATTAGGGCCTCAACGAGTGGTAGTCACCATACTAAGCCCGTGTCCCTTTAAAATTAGTTGATAGTCGTCGATCCAGCATTGATGAAATGAGGATCGAATGAACGGGAATAACATCATTTTCACTTCAGCCCTATCGATCCTGCTAAACAGTCTGTGCGTGAACCACCACCACCACCCTGATCGTTTTACTGGTCATTAGTACTCTTACAGGTTCGTCTCTAGTCTTGTTAAGTTTGCCCTCAACCGAGAGAAAGCCACTCAGATAACGGTACCTGATCCCTTGTTGACGCTAGAACCAACCTTCCCCATGCTAACGCAAGAAACAAAACCAGAGCTCGTGCGGAGAGCTTTAATCGCGTCAGCCAGAGTCAAGAGTGACCTTGACCTGATGGATGAAAGCGGATTAACACGGATGTGGTTGTCAGTAGGATGCCGTGGGTGCCACCCACTGAAGTAGCGTGGTTAGGGGATTAGTGCAAGACAACGACGAAAACCGGCGATGAGCCATCCTGGGGGAATCCTGGACCCCCAACATGTCTTCTACTTGAAGTAGGGGGCATCGAGTAAGCGTTATAGGGCGAGATTAAACTCCGTGGTTTGAAACTACATGCCGAATCCCAAAACAAACTTTTATGGTGCTCGTCATCGTGGTCTACCCCCTATGATGTTTCAGTTCCCACTGATATCGACTACCGTCTACTCCAGGCCCTAGTCACGCCACGTCAAAATACCTTCCACAATCATCGTCTCCACATTCACGTTGCGCATTGACACACACCCTAACGCCACCATACGTGAATTGAATTCAACCAGGTACCCAATTTTCTTGCCTTCTCCACGTGCCTGTTCTTAAGTCCACTATTTCTGTCTAACTAATGTTTTCGACCAACAAACTCAGTGGATGTTTAGCGATGGGGCAGCCTAGATTCAGGAGACACAACAACGGCGTTGCCACGGTTTGAACTCCCTACATAGACCACTGTGTGCAGCCATTAATGGGTTGCCAATTGTCAAAAGCACGAGTGGCAATCAAATGCATTTGAGGCATAAAACGACAAGGATGAGTGGACAAGAAGATGTATGGTTTAGCGATTACTAGAGCACGACGCATTAGCGATCTCGTCACCGTCTGATTCCGACGTTCCCAGTGACCCCCTTGCAGTAAGTCCGGGTGGCTGCGACACTTGTGGTTCTTGATTCGGCTGTTCCGTAGCCATTGGCGGTGGATGGATCGATGTGGAGCGCCTACTGACGTCAACTGCCATAAGTTCCACCCGGAGTGGTGGAGAAGAGCTGTAGTACTTGATAGGTGGTGAAAAGCTGGCAGGATATTCTGAATCGGCAGCTACAAGGTAGGGTCCAGGTTTAGGGAATACCAAATGGTGAGTTGATGTTGAAGGTATTGGTTGAATGGCAATTTTGGATCCCCCTATCGGTGAAGAAGCAGGTGTGGATTGTGCGGAGGTCGGAGGTGTAGGAGGCTTCACTGGTGAAGGAGCAGGACTGGTTTGTGGAGAGATCAAGATAACAGGGGGCTTCGTGAAAGAAGAGGTAGACGTGGATTGTGAGGCGGTGGCAATACTAGCGACTTGCGAACGCTTGGGTGTAGGAGGCGAGGATTGTGAGATGGGCGAGAGTTTGAGAAGCTTTTTCGGTGAAGCCACAGGACTGGTTTGTGAAGAGCCTGGTGTTGTAAGGAGCTTCGCCAGAGTAGGGGAACGCGTCATGGACTGAGTGGGGACCACTTGAGAGTCCGTTTTCGTCAGGTGCATGGGAGTCGAAGTACGATCGGTGGTTTGCGGAAAGTGGGTGCCTGTCGCTGACAAGTGCATTGTCGACTGAATTGGCGTCGTTGAAGATTTGCTGCTGAATGTTGGCAGTGTAGCTCTATATTGAACGGGGGGCTTTGAAGAGCGGGCAGTGGAAGTTGGCAAGTCGATCATGGACTGATCAGGCAGGCAAGCATAACGGAGATCGGTTGGATAAAACGTGACCGAAGATTGGGTTCGGGTGCAAGAGAATTCGAGGTGCTTGAGGTAGCAGGTGGTCTTGACTACACGGGAACCCATTGAACAACGGGTAGCCGATTTCTCCACAGCGGCTCCGTACAGATCGAGGAAGAGAGGCACAGATGGCACAATGATCGTCTGCTCGTCTTCACGCGGTTCATTTGCGTCCGCACTCATCGCTGTCTCCCCACGATTGTCAACTTGACTCAGACTATCTGACACTCTACGTTTGGACATCTTCAATAAGGCGATTATTCCTGCTCAGTGCCTTTAATATCCAGACATAAATAACTCGAGTTCATGGTTGTGTGAGCAGTAATCGTAAGCGGTAATGTTGTCATGTCGATCTTTGACACTCCGTCACTGCTCTGATGAAGGATTTATTTTTCGCTCACACATATTGCCTGTCAGCAGGACAACGTGAGACGCGCTCAAGACAGTTCGCGAATGTTCTTCAGTCGATTTTGTGACTTGAGTTAGGTCCTGGAGTGGCAAATTTTGTGCCGTGATTTGATTCTCAGTCGAATACATGGCAAGACATGTCATCGTAATCATTTCAATCAATCATTTAACCATGCAATTTTCTTGTGGAATGCTTTGTTTAATTTATTTATGGACATCTGACACACTGTGTGTAGTTGCCGACACCGTCCAGACGAATGACAATTCTCGATTCGGCGAGCCACACGATGGATGTGATGGAAATGCCCAAAGGGTAGTTGAGTGTATCACTTCGACTGCTCGACCCGGTTCTTTCACATCGGACAAAGTTAGAACGTGCGTTTAGATCAGTGGTGTCAATTAACGCTAATCGAAGTGAGGTTTGTGAAATCTGTTAGCAAAATTACCGATCAGCTGACTCGACAAATATCGAGGTTTGCATGCGCATCTTGCAAAACCGGTTGGTTAATAGGCCGAGAACGTTGCAGAGTGACGAAAGCCGACACGACAACCTACATTCTCTAAGCCTACTTTTCACATCAATTCCGACGCCACCTCAAAGAGCTCCATCAAAGGCAAATGGGTTCAATTTCGTGAAATTACTGCATAATTCCGAGAATTCGAGCACGCAAGCAGACCAGTGGCAGAGGCATTTAAAGCCCCCAAGAGGACTTATTGAAGGTGTGCCTCTGTCACTGGCAGTAAGTCGAATTGTGTCTTTGGCTGGTGACAGAACAGTTTGCGTTTCGTTTTATGAGACAATGCGTGTTTGCGATATCAATAGGTAACGACGTCCAATGCAGTTGTTAACCCCTTTACCACATCACATAAACCAGGCACGAAATATGTCCGGAAATGGCAGGCACGGCCGTTTACTAGATAACTCAGCAAGATCGTGTCGTGGACATTTGCAGTTGAGTGGATACGCAAAATGAAACACGGGCGTCTGTGAGGCCACATGACCGAAGCGGGGGGTGGTGGCACTAGCAGGACATGAGTTTATGAACCAGCGGCGTCACGTGACCGACGGCACGTCGTGCATAACGGCGGACGGATGTTGGAAACTGCGACGACTGGGTTATTGGACATGAATCAACACGATTCACAACACAGTCGACATTGAGATTGCGTCTTTCGAAGTAGCTATTCGTGGCTTGCCCATCCTCACTTAAGATGTGTGTGATGATGTGGAAGCAGTGCACAATGGATTGATGCACACTGAAACTTACTTGACGAGTTATGGTATACACGTCGCGTGGCTTTCAGTTGAACTGCTGAATGTCTCAAATAATGCTGAAACGGTTCACCAAGTTGAATTGAGTGCAATGGTAGGGGAGTGATTGCAGTCGTAAGAAGAATTTTATGCAATTGGATTGAAAACATCCCACAAGAATGGGTTGAGATGTAATAACAGACGCGAGTGGTGCTGGTGTTTAGCACAGACATTTTAAATGGAAATTTGTATACTGTGGAAAGATTAAATTTTAATTTGGAAACAGAAATTCGTTTGTGGATTGGTCATCGCTGGCTAACAGTCTTTGCTCCATCTTTTGAATCACCTTTGAACCAAGACCAGGGTTGCACTACAACAACAACAACTGATGTGAACAGATTCAGGCCTAGGTTGCTTTCATCCTCAAATCAAAGCCACCGAATCTAGGTCACGCATGAGCACAACTGAATCAAACTGTTCACTGCAATCGACGTTCTTACCCATCGATAACAAAGGCAAACTATCCTGTCACCATCCTGAGGCAATTCGGCGTAATGCTGATCCTAGTTTCACACATGCATTTGTCGTGAATACTGTTTATGCAATCCCCGAATCCGGTCGCACCACCTCCTGCAACTCCCCCTTCACTAGCCCGAATATGCATCTTTGAGTGTCCCCACACATAGGTCTCGATGTTAGCGCATGTATGACTCACACATCCGAGCTATAAATACACACGCGCAAACACCACACACGACACAACGACACCAACGTGGTTGACCTCTGAAGTAAACGCTTGTGTCCACGTCCTCTCCCTCATCTTCTTCTTCATCGTCGGCATCAGGGAAACGTAATCGGGCCAGGGTTAATTCCGTGGCACCGGCGTGGTTCAGGACGACATGCTGGGGCCCAAAACACATACACATAAAACCCTTACGATAGCCAACGTGAAGTCCGAAACATTGAAGGCGGCAGTACACCAGAAACATTGTTGTAATGCAATACGTACATTCATGCAACACGACGCAAACGAGGGTGAAAAAAGGCACATTGAACAAACTGAACAGCTACCTGTTGGATTGCGTGAGCGCAATTTGCACATAGCAGGACAAATTGACATCAAAGACCAATGCATTCTGTCCGACTTCACGGGCATAACGGCAACCCCGAGGACACGGGGTTATTCGGATCGTGCGCTTGGAAATTCGGCATCGATTTGACAGGAGTCAGTGTTCGTGAGGATTTGGGGACCAATGAAGTTGGTCTAGGCACCAGTGATAAACAAGGTGGAGGCGGCATCTGAGAGGAAATGCCTGGATTGGGGTTGGGGCATGTCGAACCTCCACAGAGTGACGCCGAAGACATGATTGGGTGGGGTTCGGGATAGGCCCAACATCCATTGATTGATTCCAAAGAACCGCCCAGAGAGTGTTCCAGTGATGAGCCGTAAGAACCACCTGACATTGGATCTGGGGAAGTGGGAGAATCAGCGGGTGTTTCATTCGAATCGCTATACAAAAACACGAGTGCACGCCTAGGTGGGGGCGACCACAGCTCTCCACGGTACATTGCTCGAGTTGCTCAGATTCTACGTTGGTCTGTGTCGATGTGCAATGGCGAGCATGCACGCCTTTAAATAGACCTACTGAGGTGTGAAGCAGAGAGCTTTAACATCACTGGAGCTAATAGCATTGCTCAAAGCCGGTGTGAAGTGTAGCACCAATGTGACATCATGGCGTTAATAATGTGTCAATAACGTTGTGTAATGCAATATGGGATTAACTGCAAAGGTGTGAACTCGGGGACTTGCGTCCTATCTACCACGACGACTAATGTTTCGTGACTGTTGGCACGTGTACATTGGCTGCGACATTCTACTGGCGAAACATCTTGTTTCGCTAGAGCTTGAACAAACGGCTTCGTCTGACGCCGGTGGTAAATTAAGCGTGTTGTCAGGACGTACAATACTGTCGCAGCATTTGCAATCTCATTCGCGTTTGTGGGACAAAATTACCTGCTCACCATCCTCATTGTTGCTGTTGTTGTCGTGGCTGGAAGACGCTGCAGTTCATAACCCAGACACGACTGCTGTCTGCCGCAACTGACATGACCGACACGCCATTCACTGAGCATGATTGGTGCAGGTCATTGACCTGCGCTGAACTAGGAAACAACGAGTCACAGCAAGTTGGCCATCAATATTCAGCTGTCATCGTCCGTGTGATCACCAAGGATCCCGTCTACCAATGGCACTTGCATCACGTTAGTCACGAGTAAACGTCGCTTCACTTCTACGATAGCCAGGATTGTTTTAGGTGGACGAGGATGGATAAACGGAGATGGGGCTATTAGAGGCGGCATCAGAAATGGTGGAAGGAATTGAAGCGCAGATTCTGGACGCATTGCGTGTGCAGTTAGTAAACGTTATTTACGTGAGCTGCGAGATGTGTGATAAGGAAAGGAGGCCGATGAAAGCAAAGGCTGAATGTGGCCGATACTAATCAGCTTGACATACACCATTCCGATGGTGTATTTTCCTGCAATTATCTATTCATTAGGACAGTTCGCGTGAAGGATGAAGCGTGGTTGGCCAAATCTGCTGGGTGCCTGAAACACGCTAGGAGCTAAAACTTGCTGGTGACCTCAATTTCAAGTGCATATTATCTTCTACCAGGTGGCAATCTTGCAGTACAACGTATGCAGGTTAGTATTTATGTGACCACCGCTCCATTTTGATCCCTCTTATATTTTCGTGAGCAGCCGTTCATCATCACCAATGTCCGATTGCAGGTCCAGATTCTCTCGGACCGCTCAGTTATAATTTCCAACTACCGCCTCGTGAGACCAGATTTCTTTACTGACTCAGTTCGCATCTGTAGTGATTTATTTAACGCTCCGTTACAATCTCCTAGTGAGCAGCTCGTAAGGACGAGAGAAGAGTGAATAGAGAGGCGACGGACTGTTTGTTAGAGCTAAGCCAGCCTAGTGTGTGTCGTGTTGGGTGTGTGAGTGATTGGATGATAGGTGTCTGATGACCGTGCCCAATCTAGTCGTGTAACCTACACGCTCTGAGGACGCAACAAGTGTATTTGTTTGTACACCGACGCTGTAAGATCCTTATCACACAACTACATTATATCTAGCAGCTAACTAGTTTTGTATCTATTGTGTACTACGTTAGATAAAAATTGTGGCGGGGGATTTTAGGCACCGTCTATCAGCTTGCGTTCGAGGGACAAGTGGTATGTCGGACACGCATAATTGTTAGGCTGTTTGATGTTTCCACGTCTTAAATTCGTTTGTACAGCCCTTTATTTAATGGTGCTAGATCACAGCTGATAACGTGGTCGTCGAATGTTCCATCTTTGCGACAGCTTGGCTGTCAGCCAGGCTGCAGAAAGTTGACCCCAATTAAAAACCACTGCTTCATCTTCGACATCGTGAAAACGACCAAAATTGCAAAGATAATTTTGCCACTATGCCATCGCTGTAGCTGTACTTAACCTAAGCACTTTGGCACTACTCAGAGCCAGGAACCTTCCAGGACTGACAGTCGTGTGAGTTTGTGTCCGGCGTATCCCACAGAGGAATAGCACACTACTCACTTATACTTCGCCCAAAGAAAGAATCCACATAAAAATGACAACTTTGACGTCAGCGACAGCATTAAAATCATTTTAAACGCCATCTTTCATTCATGCTCGAGATAAGACCTTTGAAATCATGGGTTGAATGTGGCCGATGCCAATCAGCTTGACACACACCATTTCCGATTACCTGTTTTCTTGCAATAATCTACTCATTACGACAGTTTGCGTGAAAGACTAAGTGTAGTTGGACGGACTCAGCTAGGTGGCTAAAACATGCTGGTGACCTCAATTTCAAATGCATATTATCTTCTGCCAGTTGGCATCTTGCGGTAGAACGTGTGTAGATTAGTATTTAGGTGGCCACCGTTCCATTTTGCCCCCTCCTATATTTTCGCGAATAACCGCTCATCATCACCGATGCCTGATTGTAGGTCCAGCTTCTGTCTGATCGCTCAGTACGAATATCCAACTACCGTCTGGTGCCACCAGATTTTTTACTGGCTCTAACCGCATGGAACACGACCGCTTATTAGCGTTAATCCCGCCTAGTGTGTGTTCTGTTGTGTGGGTCAGTGGGTGGATGAGAGGCGTCTCATGGCATTACCCGATCTAGTCCCATGTCTCTATTCTCAATGGCCCCCAGGGTCGACACTAACATGGCAGACCATATCTTTTTATTCTCACTTAGGTCTTCCGGTCTCAACCAAGTCAAAAACCCGGAAATGTTTGTATCATCATCATAAGCAGCAGCATCAGCGAATCATTTTAATGCATTTCGGCAACGCACAAAGACGTCAAAAGCGTTGAATTGAGCCCGCATCGATTCTTCATGTAAGCAGCAAATGGACAACACAAGAGTACGATGGACTAGATGCGACAGAATGACGCGCGCATTTATTTCCTTTCATTCATGCTGCAGTTGTGACCCCAATCTCGAGGCCCCAATCTGACGAGGCGAGCAAATTAAGACCAACACAAAAGCAATCACATGGGCACCACTTGTCGTCGGTCCTGAGTAGCCGAATGAATGCTCCAATGACGGTATTATTGTGTGTAACACAAACAAGTCTTCAATGAACCTTTTTTTGAAAATAAACGCAAACAACGTAGCATC